TGTTATTGTGGAGTACCAGATTCTGGGCATGGTTATTCACTGGGTTCCTCTTTTTGTTTTGTAGGTGTTTCTTCATTATCTGGCCAAAGCTGCAGTTCATCAGACAAACAAAGACATCTGCGATTATCTGTATTTTGGTCTGGATCCTCTGCATTGTGCTTTTCCCTCTTTTGATATTTTTTTATCAGAGATTCATCTTCTTTGTTTTTGCTCTGATTCCTTCACCCATGTTCATCATCTGTCCACTTGGAACCTTCTTTTCTCTGCCAAGAGCTACCTCAGTATCTCCTGAGGGAAGACGTAGAATTGTGGGGACTATGTTTCTGTTGATAGTTAACTACACCCTAACAATTGTTCCACCAACTATTGGCTTTATTTCTTATATACCTCCTTTTCTGTATTATGAACAGGTTTTAGTGACCTTGTTTCTTCTCAGTCCTTTCATTGATCTATTTCTGTTTGTTTTCATGCGCAAAGGACCTATTGACGACTTTCTATCATGTCTCTGCTGCTGTAAGATGGAAACCTCTGCAGTAGATGACAGCAGTTTATCTGCTTGAGTTTGGCTCAGATAGTTAAGTTCATAGACCAAAAAAAAGAAATTAACACCGTCTAAGAACAAATCCAATGGGACGTTAACCCCTTTATGCCTGAATATACAAAAATATATACAAATGTTTTTGTGACTTACCATTGGCTGTTGTTTCAAGCCTGGAAATATCTCTAATTTTTTGTAACATTTATTTGCTGAGTTGGAAAATTAGATTAATTTCCCCAGATGGACAGACTTAAACCTATAATACGGCGGTTCATATGGGGTGTCGTTTGTAAAGTTAAGCTGTCAAAAATGAGAAGCAATACTTATGGTTATTTAGTGTGTTTTAATAAAAATAATGTTTTTTTTCCAAAGTAAATTTTTCAATATGTCATTCAGTTATTTATAAAACTCTAAGTTTGAAATTAAATATTTAGGTTGTCATTTACAAAACTGTCAGCAAGCTAAGTATTTATTTACCAAACTAAGTATTCTTCCTGCGATGGACTGGCAGACCATCCACGGCGCTAGCTTCATATTTTTTAACTGCAAACTGTCATGATTGTGCACTTTTTAGCTCTGTTTAAATTTTCTTTTTGAGATTTCAGTTATACTTTGATTAATGTCTTTATCGGGTTTTTTTGTTCATTGTATTCAATTTAATTTTGTGTCATTCTAGCTGTTTTCTGATTGTATTTGAGTTCTTATGTATTTCTTTTTTACTCTCTGTTACCCTATGGTGTCAGTCTATTTTCCCTTAGCTCCTTTCGAGTTCCCTCTGTCCATACCTGCTCCCAATCAGTTGATTACTCCATTCTTTGTTCTGCTTGGTATTTTTACTCCTCTTCTGCAGTTACTGAGGGCTGAATTATCTTCATTCCCTCCTCATGTGTTCTCCTTTGTTATCATTCCTGTATCCCTTATTCGGTTATTTTTGGATTTATGCTTCAGTTGCCACCGTTGGTAATTAAATCTGCAAGAAACCATCTCAGCTTCCTTCTCTGCATTTGGATCCTCTAAAAACCTCCACACAACCTGACACAAGATAAATATTTATTTATCAAACTAAGAATTTACTTTATAAAATAACTAATCAACATAATAAACATTTAGTTTGGAAAATAAATATTTAGCTTGCTAACAAATCTTTTAACTGAGAATCTAAATATTTAGTGAACTTTGATTCTTATAAATAGATTAATGATATACGGCAAAAAAATGACTCCCTTATTGTTCTCTTAAAACATGCTAAATAACCATAAATATTGCAATTAAGTTTTGACTGCTTAACATTACAAACTATACCCAATAACTTCATTGTTAACACAGTGAATACATGTCAGCAGAAAAGGAAGCCCAAACCATCAGCCCTCCACCACCATGCTTGACTATTGAATATACTTTGGTCTAATTTGACCAAAGTACAATAATCTATTAGATTTGTGTATATTTAGATTGAAGTGCAAACATCGACAATGTGTTTAGAGAAAAAAGACATTTCTCTTTTAAGCGATCTCATTCAGCTTTTCTTATTACCTACCTTTACTTTAACAAGCTAGCTTTGGCCTATACATTCTAAGAAAGGGGCTTCTGGTTTATCCTTCTATCCACTGTAAAGTGTAAATTTTTGGGTAGATTTATTTTGAATTGCATGCAGATCGGCTGCTGTTTTCCTTGTATTATTTTTCTGCAGGTAGAAACATTTTTTTTTTGTTTTTTTTTTACTTTAAACGGTTTGGAAAAGCTTTATAACTCTCCCAATTTTATAGGCAGTAACTACAGCTCCTTTGATGCATTTAGCTTTATTTTTGATTTAGCATACATGGTTATTATAAACTGCAAACTGCCAAAGATTTGGCCCTTACAGGCATAGGTCACATTAATGATTTTCGCTGAACTGTTGGGTTATATGAATATGAAGTTGTACAGCCTTTGCTCTTAAATTTGCTGCAAAGTGTATTTTTTCTATGGATACTTTTACATTTATATTTTCTATTTTAAATCCATTTTGAGAACAATGCAAGAATAGTTCAGTATCTTTTATTTAAAAATTATGTATTTGTGTGTTACCTTTGTATAAATCCTACCCTGACAATGTGTAATGCCTTAAAGAAAACTTGATAGTGTAGCTTGTGACCCAATTATTGGTCAAATTTCTTTTACTGCTGATTACCTCTTATCACTTTTCAAGGAGAGAACACCAGACTTTCTGGTAAATTTCATTATCATTTTGATAAATAAAATGTATTTTGAAAATTTTAAATACAAGATTATGCAAGCAGCAAGAAATTCTCCAACAGTCCAACATAAGTTAGTTATTGGTTATAAGGTGAATATGCAAAACCTTCAGTGACAAAGGCAACATTTTGGGACGTTCATTCCCCCTACATTTTTCTCAGATCAATAAAAAATTGAAAATCACCGCAACTTCTTAAGTTTGTCTATTTCTCCCACCATTCATTTGCAAAACTGGTTTTACTGTAGAGAATGACAACACTGAAAAAGCCACAAATTAAACAATAAAACCTGGATATTGATTTAAGGGTTCTTAAATGCTCATCCATCTTATATACAAGGTTAACTTATTATTCTGCAACTGTTTAATGACATTTCAGGAGAGTAGATTAAAGAAAATTAGCACCATAGGTTGTCCAACTTCTTTTTCATTATTTACCTACTTTATGATTAATGGAATTACACTGCAGAAATTGAGAGGTCTCACAAACCATTAACAGCTTTACTGTCTGCAAAGCACCTGATGGGAAATAGTATTAAACAGTATTAGCATATTTCTTATTCCCTTTTTTTTTGGTTCAGTGGAAAACTAAAAATGTAGACCTACTACCAAAACATCCAGAGGACCTCCATCCGGCTTATTACGACTTTCACCAATTCTGTCCTGGACATTGGTCTAATATTGCCATGAACTTCATTTCCGGTTTATCCAGCACTAAAGGTAACAGTCTTTTCCAGACTGCCTGTGCAAAGCAAAGCCTACAGGCCCCAGCTGTTCATCCCAATTTGCTCCACTCTGATTTCCCTGCAGCTTGAGTACAGCATGTGTGAAAGTATTTATTACATTCATCCATCCATACATTTTACTCCGCTTATCTGGGGGCGGGTCGTGGAGCAAGCAGTCTAAGCAAATATGCCCGACCCACACATACTTCCTCCAGCTGCTCTGGGGGGACCCTGAGGCAACACCAGGCCATCTCAGAGACACAGTCCCTCCAGCGTGTCCTCGGCCTTCCACAAGGCCTTCTGGAAGGAGGGACATGCCTGGAAAAGATGGCGAAGCCACCTCAGCTGGCTCCTTTCGACATGGAGGAGCATTGACTCTACTCTGCAGACGGCGCCTCACACCGAGTCTGGTTCTGCTGGAGGTTCCATGCTCTTAAAAGGGAATTTTCTTCTCCACTGTCACTACATACAGTAAATGCTTGGTGTGACGGATGGCAGTGAGTTAATCACCAATCAGATGACGAACAAAAAAGCTTTACTTGTAATTAA